ATGAAACCTAGCTAGGTTCATTATGTTCAGGGTTCAATTCAGAAGAGCTCCACATAACTCACATAAGAGACAGACGGGGGCTTTACATGGGGTAGATGGCCTGATGACTTAGCTGGAATATGGCCAAAATTAAATTGACAACTTTTAGGTGAAAGGTGGTGATTTGGGTTAAGGGGCGTTTGTTGAAGTCAACTACTGGGTTATTTTGCACCCATTAAATGAAACTTCTGCTCCAATTCTACCCATTGAACCTCAATATCATGATCTACCTGTCCATCACTAGGTATCCTTCCTTATTACATAGAAACTTTGAATGGCATGGCAATTTATAATTTTAAATGACAATATTTTTATGTTTCTTCTGTAGGTAGGTAGGTAGGTAGGTATATACACCAGACTGCTATGGACACTTTTCCAAGTTGGTGGGGCAAAAAACCTAATGTATATCTTGGTTTGAGTCGTTTGATTGAGTTGATTGATTCCTTTCATTGTCGCGTTTGAGTCGATTGAATCAATTCCCGAAAACTGCTCTGACTTGATTGATTTGATTGGTTTCCCAAATTTGTCGTGATTGAATTGATTGCTATTGATTGAGTCGTATACAACCCTGTTACCAACGTAACGCATAAGGCATGCTTTCGGCCCCTGATCGAGGTAGAGTTTCGCGGAAGAGCGAAAATGCTGCCCGTGATGAGAGAAAGCCGATGATGCCCAATTTCAAGGACTTGGCCGGGTCATCTTAGGTCAACGCCCAAAAGTAGGAAAAATCTGGCCGCCTGCTAGAACTTAGTGAGCCGTAGCTGTTATCGGGGTCCCGAGTACGAGTTCGATGTTAGTCTTGAACAAAGATGATGACTCCATGCATTTTGGGTAGATCGGGTCGGGTCAGGTCAGGTCGACCAGCAGGGCGCAGGCTTCCTGCCGGCCATCTAGAGTGGGTGACTGACAACCACCAACGATAGCTTCGTAACATGCTACATAACCATCATTTATCAAAACTACTTCAAACGGTTCAAACGGGCGCTAAACTCGAAATCAGCCCCAAAAACCACACTTGTAAGTGGAAGCAAATAAAACTTAAAAAAGTTAACCAAGGTCACCCATATTCGAATCAGGGCCAATTTTTTTTTTTAGAATAGGTGTAAAATTCATTAACTCGAGGTCACTGGAAGTTTCGTTGCAATATACTCCTTTTTTGCGCGTCTTATTAGGAAAGCCCCAGAGGGATCCAACATCTGACCCCATTTCCCATATGCAGGCAGGTCCGAGGGTAGCAGGGCTGAGGCTAGCCAGGTACCTCGTAGTTACCTACTGCTACGTCATCCGACGAATCGACTGCAACCATTATTTTGACAATCAGACGAACGCTTGGGTCAGTTTTGACGCGCTCGCTCATTTGAGGGATAAAAAGGGACTAAAATCATATTGTCATGCTGATGTTCTAGCCCACAGCTTATTGACCTATAAGCAATAGGGACTAGGGAGCTCTTGAAGCGATTCTGAATCTGACGTTGTATTTGTTGATGCTGCTGACGCCAACTTCCCTGACATGATAGCTAAAAAAAGCATACTCAGCATCGCCAAAAGTGGGGGGGGGTCGACCCCCCGGTTCTGACGAGTGGGGGTCGCGACCCCCCCCCCCCCCCGACCCCCCCGTCGGCGACGCCCCTGCACCCACCCTAACGCATAGGAGCAATATCATATCACATGTTTAAACGCTTGAAATCACGAAAAGAGTGCAGACGCGCGGCTAAGAGGAGACGATATACGCCGAATCGCGATTCCGGCCAAACATGGTCTCGAAAAGTAGGTCACAGGTCAAGGGTCATTTGCGTCAGGGTCATGAAATTGTTAGGGTAGGTGTAAAATTGATGAACGCGAGGGTAATGAAAGTTCCGTCGCGATCAGCGGGTTTTTACGCGAGTTATTATCGAAAACCGAGAGGGGGCTGTTCGACCCCCCCCCCCCTATACCGGCGAGGGCTAAGGGGGAGGGGCGTTTCTCACGGTTCTCCCTACCTAAGATCATTGTTAAGATCTGAAATGAGAAATCATAAAACATGGCTCACAGCAGGGCTGAAGCGTGAAATACGCAAGCATGGCTACTCAAGCTTGATCAGCTCAACGATAAAAAAAAAAGCAGTTCAGGCTCTCCGCCGATGATGACAGCCTGGTCGGGTAGTTCGCTCCGCGACAGGGTCCGTCTGCTTTGTGCGGCGCGGCGCGGCGCGGTGGGGGGGGGGGGAGGCGGCGATGCGTCTGAAAGGCGACGCTCGGACGTCCCGGGAATCACCTGTCACCATGCGGCGCGGCGGTCGGTCCCTCCGACCCTTCCCATTGTTACCTGACTGCGGGTGCCGGTTCCCCCGGAAGGGTCACTTTGGTATGCGAAATCTTCACTCGTTAATCGGACAGGAGGGGAGCAGTAGACATTCGATGGAGTAGGCGATTCGGGCGTAGGTCAGCCGGGCGTAGACATTCGATGGAGTAGGCGATTCGGGCGTAGGTCAGCCGGGCGTAGGTCAGCCGGGCGTAGACATTCGATGGAGTAGGCGATTCGGGCGTAGGTCAGCCGGGCGTAGGTCAGCCGAGCGTAGACATTCGATGGAGTAGGCGATTCGGGCGTAGGTCAGCCGGGCGTAGGTCAGCCGGGCGTAGACATTCGATGGAGTAGGCGATTCGGGCGTAGGTTAGCCGGGCGTAGGTCAGCCGGGCGTAGACATTCGATGGAGTAGGCGATTCGGGCGTAGGTCAGCCGGGCGTAGGTCACCCGGGCGTAGACATTCGATGGAGTAGGCAATTCGGGCGTAGGTCAGCCGGGCGTAGGTCACCCGGGCGTAGACATTCGATGGAGTAGGCAATTCGGGCGTAGGTCAGCCGGGCGTAGGCCACCCGGGCGTAGGTCACCCGGGCCTGAGCCGCCTGGATCCGGCGCACGGCGACACGGCCGACTCCGGATCCAGTGGGAAGAATGACAACGTGTCAGAGCCGGCTCGATCAGACGCAGTCATCTACTTCCCCACAGCCAGGCTCCGCGCCTCTGTCGGTCGGCCGATCGGTCAGCGGTGACCCTGGCGACCCCGGTGACCCGCATCGGTGGCACCTCGGGGCCCGATAGCTGCCGGGACGGCCGGCGGCGCGGCGCCAGATAGGAGCCCGCGGCGGCGGCGGCGGCGGCGGCACTCGCTCTCACTCACCAGCAGGGCTGCCGGTGGATATCGAGCACCGCTGCCGGTGGATATCGAGCACCGCTGCCGGTGGATATCGAGCACCGCCGCCGGTGGATATCGAGCACCGCCGCCGGTACCGGCTCATCGCCACCCCGGGGGAGGACCGCCAGTGGTGGGGTGACGACTGACGGACCGCCACCGACCCGGCGACAGAGCGCCAAAGAACGGGCGACAGGGCGCCACCGATCCGGCGACAGGGCGCCAATGAACGGGCGACAGAGCGCCACCGACCCGGCGACAGGGCGCCACCGATCCGGGTGGCAGACCGCCACCGCGCCTACGGAAGCGGTGGGAGGGACGCCGGCCGAAGGGTGCCGCCGTGGGAGGGCTGGGGGACTGGGGGTGGATCCAGCCGTGGTGGGAGGGACGCCGGCTGATCGATGGTCCGACGCAGGCAGCCCAATGGAGCACGGAGCGCCTTCCGCCCCCCCCCCCTCCCCCTGCTACCGACGCGCAAACGAGGAACTAAAGAGGCGGCCGGGCCACGGAGGCGCGCGATCACACGGGCCGCCGCCGCCGCCGGGGCGGCTGCGGGTGAGGGTACCGGCCACCGGGCGATAATAACGCTACTGTGGGGCGAGTGCCGCCGTGCCGCTCGGTCGCGGAGAGCTGCAGCGTTGGTGGGACAGAACTGGCGCCGCCAGCACGCCGCGCCACCGCCTCATAACGGCTGGAGGACGCACTTTGACTGCTAATAACACGATACAGGAGTTCTATAAGTAGTGGCGGCGGCGGCGCATAGGATCCGGGACCTGCAGATCCCCATTCCATAGCGGGGAGTTTCACAGAGAGTAGCTGCCAAGTTGGTCCCCACACTGTCCAGGAATATAACTAAAAGGGCGGACAGAAACAGACAGCCGAGTTATCGCATTAGTTTCCATACCGCAGCCCTTAGCCCATCCGCCAGCTCTGATGCCGACACTGGCCGTTTGGAATTGCTTAAGTGTTCATTATTCAACTCTGTCTATGGGGTTAGCGAGCGGAAACTGGGAGATCATGCGGTCGTTCGGTCGGGAGTCCGCGCCACACCGGCGGACCAGCCGACGGGACAGGCCACGGCGGTCAGCGGTCAGCGGCCAGCGGCGAGAGGTCAGCGGTCAGCGGTCAGCGGCCAGCGGCCAGAGGTCAGCGGTCAGCGGTCAGCGGCCAGCGGTCAGCGGCCAGCGGACGGACCGCCGGGTCAGAGACATTACATCAGACATCTATCGCTGCGGGCGATGCTCCAGGGGAATGTCCCCGCCGCCCCGGGTCCCTCTCCGTCGGCGGAGCGGGGCAGCACTGCGGGGCCGCTCCTCTGTCCGCCCAGCCCGGCCCCCAGTAGTGGTACACACGCCGACATGACGCAGCGCATCTCCGCCAGAGCAGCGCACGCGGAGCGCGCGCCGTGGGGGTGTCAGTGGCGCCGACAGCATCGGTTACTGGGCGAGCCGATAATGGCGGGTCGACCCATCAGGCTCCCCGGGCACGTAACGACCCGGGGGACGAGGCCGGTCGGCGTCAGCCAGCGCCGACCGCTGCGGCAGCTCCGACCGCCGGCCGGCCACCCAGCGCCGACCGCCGGCCGGCCACCCAGCGCCGACCGCCGACGGTCGGTAATCATTAGCCATTACCGCTGTCTCGCACAGCAATGGCTAACGACGCGCGCACCAGGTCCGCATGATATCGTCCATGACGGCAACGACAAAAAGTAACACAAAAATCAGTAAATTAGCCGCGGCATTCGCCAGCTATCGGCGGTGAATAATGGGACCGGGGCATGCCGTATACTTACGTATCAAAAATCCGTCTGCGCAGACATGGAACATTCGGTGAATTGGTTACCGGGGCATCAACAACATCGACACTGCACAACAAGATCCAACTACAGTCCCAAACACGGGCCTTCCTCAGTACCCATTACCCAAACTAAAAATCATTAGGCACCCGAACAAAAAAAAAATCATCCACAGCAACAACACAAATCATAGTAAAGCACCTCTCACGATGCACACCAGTCAACACCACTCCACCATACCTCCCAGCGGCAGTCGGCAGTCGGCACCGCCGGGCGCTCCGACGGCCGGGGAGGGGGGGTCCCGCACTCCTTCCCACCCCTCCCGGTCACCTCCGCGGACAGCTGATAGCGGCCACCCCGCCGACCTGATCAGCCGCGGCGCGGCCCGACAGCCGTCATGAGCGCCCCGACCCGACCCGACCTGACCTGATTGGAGCCGACCCAGTCCGGTCAGACGGTTCGAGTCCTACATACACAGTACACAATGCGAGCTCAGTTTAGTTCGATCGACAATGCTGGGTGATGTGTGTGAGAATGGAGCGTCTTGAGGTCTCAGTCCTAATGGAACAGCCTACCTCAATATGGACGCGATAAATTTGAACTACTGAAACGTCCCCACGGCAGCCTGCGCTATTCCGATGAGACACACACAGACGTAGGAAGCCTAGTGTAGCGCCACCCACAGACGTCGGAAGCCCAGTTTAGCGCGTCGGACAGACAGTCCAGGGCAGTCTGACCCCTTCCCCAACAAAGGTCGTCTGACAGCCCAGTTCTGTTCGCTGATAGCCTTGTTCTATCCGCTGACAGTCCAAGCCCCATTCGCTGACAGCCCAGCTCTGTTAGCCGACAGCCCAGTTCTGTTCATCTGACAGACCCGCTCTGTTCGCTGACAAGCAGCTCTGTTGGCAGTGACAGCCCAGCTCGGTGTGACTCGGTTCTCTGACGGCCGGCGCTGTCGGGAAAGCCGCGGCGGCTCGGCTGTTCCGCCCCAGTGCGCCGGTCACCTCACAGGCGTGTCCACTGTCCAGCACACACAGCAGATGGTACCCCGGCAGGGGAGAGAGGAGCGGCGGAGGGAGAGGGAGGGCGGAGAGAGCCGCCATTCGTCAGCGGACGGGGGACGCCGTCAGCAGGCGCACCCACCGCCACCGCCCACCGCCCGGCTCAGCCACCCACAGACCCACCGCCCACCGCCACAGATCCCTCCCACGTCACCAGGGAGTCGGCCGGCGTCCAAGGGCCGGTGGTTCTGTCATCCGCAGACGCGCCGCGCACAGAGAGCGCCGGCAGAGGAGGCCGCCGGGCAGCGGCGCCGGCCGATAACCTCTCTCACTCGGGGCCGCGGCTGGAGCGGCGCGGGGCGCAGCTGGGCCGGGCACAGAGGGCGCCGGCAGAGGAGGCCGCCGGGCAGCGGCGCCGGCCGGTAACCGCTCCCACTCGGGGCCGCGGCTGGAGCGGCGCGGGCCCGCAGCTGGGCCAAGGATGGCGGCTGGTGATCGGGAGTACGGCCCGCTACTGAGGCGTGTCATACCGTCCTCCCCCGCCCGCTCCCACCCACCCCGGCGCGCCCCAGCGCCCTGCCGGCCGGATCCGCCGCCGGCCGGTCCCGCCGCGAAATGACGCCGCCCACACGCACAGCGTGGCACGCGACACGGACAGGAAAACAGGCCGGCACGCGGCGATCAACCGCCGGCGCGGGCTGCAACTAACGAGGGGAGGGGCTCACGCAGCCCGCGGGTCACGGCAAGGACAGGTCGCGGACGGCGCAGTCAGAGTCAGAGGGTGGGAGGTCAGACTCAGAGGTCAGACCCAGAGGGTGGCGAGGTCAGACTCAGAGCGTGGGAGGTCAGACCCAGAGGGTGGGAGGTCAGACTCAGAGGTCAGACCCAGAGGGTGGGAGGTCAGACCCAGAGGGTGGGAGGTCAGACTCAGAGGTCAGACCCAGAGGGTGGGAGGTCAGACCCAGAGGGTGGGAGGTCAGACCCAGAGGGTGGGAGGTCAGACTCAGAGGTCAGACCCAGAGGGTGGGAGGTCAGACTCGGAGGTCAGACTCAGAGGGTGGGAGGTCAGACCCAGAGGGTGGGAGGTCAGACTCAGAGGTCAGACCCAGAGGGTGGGAGGTCAGACTCGGAGGTCAGACCCAGAGGGTGGGAGGTCAGACCCAGAGGGTGGCGAGGTCAGACTCAGAGGGTGGCGAGGTCAGACTCAGAGGTCAGACCCAGAGGGTGGCACGGTGACACGGGCCCGAGGCTACCGCCGCTACTAATTGCCTCCTGTTGTTTTAGTTCACGGGCCTCCCTGCCGCCATTATGGGCCTCGTATACCATTTGTCGGCCCCCGAGGACGCAATTCATTCGAATGGCGCCACGAGGCACACCGCATTGGGAAAGACCTAATCAAATTATGCACCCGTATCTAGTTATCATGACATTTATAGGCAGCTTTACCGCTAACGCCTGCTCTCCCAACGAGGATTGCATTAGAGCGATAAATGAATCGCACATCATTAACAACCAGGCAGGTGCGGCTGTTTGAAGAAGAAAAAGAGCACAAGACAGCGAGAAGGGGGAGAAAGAAAGCGTCTGAGACATTGGAAAAGAGAATGAAATATGAAACCGAGCTGGACACAAAGAAGATAAAGCCGGGAAGCAGAGGGATCTCCACAGCTGAAATGACCCGACGTCCGTCGGCAGTGGCAGATCAGCCACGGCGAGTCTCACGGTGGACCACTGGTCAGGTCACTTCAGAGGTCAGTCCAAAGGGCAGCCCGGAGGTCAGAGGTCAGTTCAGACATCAGGGGTCAGCTCAAAGGTAAGTCGCGTGGCCGGCCCACGGATCAGTTCAACGGTCAGAGGTCAGTCCAAAAGGTCAGATCAGAGGCCAGCCTAGAGGTCAGTCCAAAGGTTAGTTCAAAGGTCAGTTCAGAAGCCACTTCAGAGGTCAGACATCCGAGGTCAGCCCTGAGGTCAGCACTCAGCTCAAAGGTTAGTCGGGAAGCCAACCGACGGGTCAGTTCAAAGGTCAGGAGTCGGAGGTCATAGGGGAATCCAGAAGTCAGTCCAGAGGTCAGATCAGAAGTCAGTCTAGAGATCAGCCTAGAGGTCAGTCTGAGGTCAATTCAGAGGTCAGTTCAGAGGTCAGTCCAGAGGTCAGTTCAGAGTTTAGTCCAGAGGTCAGCCTAGAGGTCAGTATGAGGTCAGTCTAGAGGTCAGTTCAGAGGTCAGTTCAGAGGTCAGTTCAGAGGTCAGTTCAGAGGTCAGTTCAGAGGTCCTAGGTCAGACCGGGTCGGCGGTCACAGGTGACGACCGCCGGTACCGCCACCTGCCCCGTCTCTAGGGCCGGGTCTCTGGGACGAACGGACGGACGGACGGACGGATGGTAGGCTGGTGACCGGGTCACCGTTCACCTGCAGCGGCCGCGCCACCGATCAGACGGGTCGCCGACTGAGCACCGACACAGTCCGCATCCTGCCCCGGGCGGCACCGACACCGACACCGTCCGCGTCCTGCCTCCCCGGGCGCCGCGCCGCTGGCAGCTCGGTATAGGTACTCGGTATCGCCGTCAGCTCGGTGTACTCGGTATCACCACGGCAGCGGAACGTCACGGCCGGCGCCGTCACGGCCGCCCAGCGTCACGGCCCGGCAGTGCGCCGTCACGGCCGCCCAGCGTCACGGCCCGGCAGTGCGCCGTGACGGCGAGCCAGCCGGCGGCCGCGCGCACCCAGACCGCGGGCCGGCACCCCTACTAATACATCCCCACCGGCTCCATCAGCAGGGTGCAGCGAGGCCGCATTGACGTTCAACCAAAGACCGCTATAACTCCGGACATTTTCCGGTCGGACACTGGACAACTTCCTCACGATGAGAACACTCGACAGTTTCCAGAAGGACGGCAATCTGCCCTTTTATTCCGCTATCGAATTTCCCCGGAGATCATCACTTGCCGACCGCAGTACTCGACCTTGTTATGGACGATAACGCGTCCATTTTCAGTCGGCGTTGAAGGCGCAGAGCCCCCACACCAATGTGAACATAATGTTAATACCTTCCGTGAACGCATATACCTATTGAAAGATAGAAACACCCAACAACAATAAAGTAATGTGTGGATTTTAAGAGAGTTCGGTTACTAATTGTAACCAACCTTTCACCCGAAACGCGTGTGCGTTCTAACTGAAGCAGAGGTGGAGTCACCCCAGCAGGCAGCACCCATAAACCACCTATGCCACCCAAACAGCCGCCCCCAAATCAAATAACCTAACGAACGGCGGCGGGTGCGGGCCGACACATCACCGGAACTAATCGCAACTCTCGTTACCGCTACACCACCGTAAAGAGCCGGCGAAAGCGGCCCACTGAATGCTCCGGCAAACAATACGACCGGCCGGCCGGGGGTCCGGAACTATCGATGGGAACTATTTGGGCGCCTGACCGCGTGGTGAGACCTTCTCCGACGCTGTCGCCCACCGCTCCCCGCTGACCCCCCTCCCCCTCCGACAGAGCATGCTGTTCCGGTCGCGACTGCGGCGCGGTATCAGTCTGGAGGTGATCTTTGAGGAGGAGTGCCTGCGGCCGGGCCGGCCCGGCTCAGAGCTCGCCGGGTCGCCCGAGCGGCCGGCCTGCCGCGCGCCCAGCCTCACCACGCTCACCGAACTCGAGTGAGTACCGCGCCCGGTCAGCCGAGCCGACCTGTGACCCTGGGACCAGTCGTCAATCGGCCACCCACATCTCTGACCGTCACCGCCCTAATGTAGCACGGATCCATAAGCCGCCGCCCGTAGCCGACCGCGGGTCCCTGAGACGGCTCGGCGGCTGTCGGAGGGTCCCTGAGCCGGCTCGGCGGCTGTCAGAGGGTCCAACTAGGGTGTCAGAGGGTCCGTGAGACGGCTCGGCGCCCGGCGGAGTCACAGTGTTAGCGGTGTCAGAGGGTCCCTGGGGGGCCACTGGCGGCGCAATGTGTCGCCGAAGCGGCAACCTGCTGCCCGCCAGGTGTCTCAGTCTGTGTGACGGCCA